TTACACATTCTATAGCATATGCCATGTCTATAAATCTATTTTTGCAAGATTATTTGAAAAACTTTGTCTTGCTCCCCATTCCCACAATCAGTGTAGAATTATTGTTTCTTTGAGGGTTTTTTACCTCAAAAAACTTTATGGTACAGCACTATTATTTCTGGTCAGGCCTAGCTCTATTTCTCTATAGCATTATGGTTAGTATAATAAAAATTATTATTTTTTGTTTTGACAATTTTTGGCTACAATGTGTAAGACACATACAATGGGGTCAAAAGAATTCCTTGTGCTTGATGTAGATATTTTTGTAGATGCAAAGAACAAGATGAAAGGCATATAATTTCAGTCATTACCCTCTCTTTTTCTTTACTTTGGGGACATCTGTTTCTACTCCATTTAGCATTGTTATTTTTCCTCTATTAAGAAAATGTTATGACGATTAGCATTGTAGAACTGGCTATTCAGATAATCAGCTATAATTCCCTATTTACTGAACTGATATATTATTAAAATACTCTGGCACTATAGTGCGAAATATCCAGAAAAAAACTCAGTACTTCTAAAGATTTGAAAAAGTGTAGAAAGAAATCATAATATTATTTCACTCTTCAAAAGCCGTTAGACTCCTCTCAAATGCTGTCAAAGCCTCTCCCCCAAGTTTTCTCCCAGTAAGTGCTTTTCATATATCAGAGAGGTTAATTTTCTAACAATTCCACTATTTATATGATAAATAATTTAAGTAAATATTTAAGCCAATAAGCTAAGGAAAATTCACTTCACCTGTTTTACGTTTCACATTTTTATGGAAAAAAAAAGATTTTTCTTTAGAAAGCAGAAACACCCAAACTTTGAAAGCTGCATTCACTAATCTGTTATTCTGACTACATATCAGAAACTTCTTAAGCTATTTATTTTCTATAGCTTTCAAAGAATGGTAAATTTTTACTAGCAAACGACCACACAATATGCTAGAGTTAAGGGAGTACTATTATTTCCTATTCACAACAAACAAGCCTTTGCAATGACACCTTGGAAGAGGATTCAGAAAGCCAGAATCTGAGATACATCACTTGAAACTCTTAAAGAAAGCACCCTGAAAAGCTTTAAAGAAAGGGCCTTGAAGTTCTCTTGAAAGCATGAGATATTTTTAAAAACAAGGATTTTCCCATTCTTTTTTTAAAGAGGGCTTCCCCTCAAATCCTCTGCATAAGACAGGAGGAGTTTGTTAACAAACTCCCCTTGCCCTACTTTATGTTTGCTGTCATTGCAGTCCATACTCTTTCCCTGGAGTCTGAAGGAAAAAATAATGCTTTCTGTCACCTTGGAGACTATGCATCTCATCTGCTTTTTGCTCTGCTCGTCACTTTCCTACCCTTTCTTCACATTACAAGGTCTCTCTGCTGTTCCTCTATCACACTCTGCAGAGTACCTTCCTTGCACTGTAGAAGTTTTTCCCAGTTATGCATGCGTGCAGAAGAAATAATCACTCTTCTCTTATGCAGAGTCGCTCTGATAGAGAGTGTTGTAGTCAAGACAGGCAATAAGGCACCCTTCCCCCAGTCACAGCTGGTCATCCACACCCTTTAACACAGAACAGTAAAGCAAATAGATGCGAGCTGCCTCACACCTAAATGCAGTAACACAATGACTATGAAAATGTCATGCACTACAAAGCTTAACTTTTAGGATTAAACTTCAATCATGTACAGAAAAAAATATTGTAATTGCATAACTGAATAGATGTGATTATTTGTTTTTCCAGCAAAGAGAATGTGTGACTATCATGCATGCTTGCAAATGTAATTATAGTTACATCACAGCTTGCTTATTAATTACAACTGACTTCCTTTTAGATCTACCATCTTTCGTTGGTGATTTTCCCATTATACGTAATTCAGATTGTAGACCTGACCATTAAAAACAATAATCAATTACATAATATACCTAATATCTTAGAAATGGGCACAGATCTTTCTGAACTTTGTGATCAATCAGATATGTATCAGTCACAAGTCTTCAAATGTACTATAATGAGTAACTTCATTCACCGCAAAAATATTTCAATAAATTGTTTCAAAGAATCATGAGATTTTTTTTAAATCAAGGGTTTTCTCTATTAGGGTTTTAAATTTTTTTTCATTGTTCATTACATTGCTTTTCATTCAAAAAAAGTGAAAATATCAAAGTAATACATAAATCTAAAAAACATATTGATAAAAAGGTTCAATTTTTTCAACCCATACCTGTTCATTTCTACTGCTATCTCATTTCAAGGTAGATTAGATGAATTCTGCTCTGACAGCTTATTTCTCTCCACTGACAGACGAATGTTAAACTTATTAGCTTGGACCTGGAAAACTATGTTTTAGATGTCTAAATACAGAGAAAATTAAAACCAGTCACAGAACTAGCTCCATAAGTGTAAAATGGGCATAACTACCTGAGCTGTAGTGGTAAGAAAAACACAGTTAAACCTGTGAATTACAACATGGTATTAATTACAGAAAAGAATAAATAAAATAAGGACATAACTGCTGGACAAGCAAAGCAGATTCATTGAAACCTGCTCTATTACTTCAATAATAATTTCACTATAGACCTTAAGGGACCATTATTTCTCAGATATGATATGTAATCTACTCTTTATGTAAGTTTAATTTCATGAGCCAGATGTTTTTAATTTTGTCAAACTATGAAGAATCAAATGGCTACTGATATGACTTAGTTTCTGAATAAGTAGCATATTTTTGCTGCATTGATTCTGATTAATTTTTAATATTAATACCATACCTGTTCTGTCAGGTGTAACTAGAATAATTTAAAATATTGTCAGATAAAATTCTTTTTGTCTTCAACTTTCTGCCCTAATCCAATTCACAGATGAATAAAAGGATAGGATAATGCTTGAAAAAAAAAAAAACCAAACCCTACACAAAACTTCCCTTATTATTGTTTCTGTGTGTCATGGTTTAACCCCAGCCGGCAGCTAAGCACCATGCAGCTGCTCGCTCGCTAGCCCCCCCCTGGTGGGATGGGGTAGAGAATAAAAAAAAAAAGTAAAACTCATGGGTAGACATAAAGACAGTTTAGTAGGACAGAGAAAAAAGAAAATAATTATAATGATGATGATAATAATAATAAAAATTATAATAAGAAAATAATTGGAATATACAAAACAAGTGATGCACAATACAATTGCTCACCACTCACTAACCAATGCCCAGTCAGTTCCTGAGCAGCAATCAGGCCCTCCTGGCCAAATCCCCCCCCAGTTTATATACTGGGCATGATGTCACATGGTATGGAATACCGCTTTGGCCAGTTGGGGTCAGCTGCCCTGGCTGTGTCCCCTCCCAACTTCTTGTGCCCCTCCAGCCTTCTTGCTGGCTGGGCATCAGAAGCTGAAAAATCCTTGACTTAGTCTAAGCACTACTTAGCAACAACTGAAAATATCGGTGTGTTACCAATATTCTTCCCATACTGAACCCAAAACATAACACTATACCACCTACTAGAAAGAAAATTAGCTCTATCCCAGCTGAAACTGGGACACCATGCAGAACAACGATGTCGTGGTTTAACCCCAGCCAGCAACTAAGCACCACACAGCTGCTCACTCATTCCCCCCACCCAGTGGGATGGGGGAGAGAAAATACAACAACAGGCTGCTGGGTCGAGATAAGGACAGGGAGAGATCACTCAGCCAATTACTGTCATGGGCAAAACAAACTCAACTTGGGGAAAATTAACTTAATTTATTGCCAATCAAACCAAAGTAGGGTAATAAGAAATAAACCAAATCTTAGAACACCTTCCCCCAACCCCTCCCTTCTTCCCAGGCACAACTTTACTCCTGAATTCTCCACCTCCTCCCTGCCAGTGGCACAGGGGTACAGGGAATGGGGGTTTGGGTCAGTTCGTCACATTTGTCTCTGCTGCCTCTTCCTCCTCAGGAGGAGGACTCCTCACTCTTCCCCTGCTCCAGCGTGGGGTCCCTCTCATGGGAGACAGTCCTTCACGAACAGCTCCAACATGAGTCCTTCCCACGGGCTGCGGTTCTTCATGAACTGCTCCAGTGTGGGTCCTTTCCACAGGCTGCAGTCCTTCAGGCACCAACTGCTCCAGCGTGGGTCCCCCATGGGGTCACAAGTCCTGCCACCAAACCTGCTCCAGCGTGGGCTCCTCTCTCTACAGGGCCACAGGTCCTGCCAGGAGCCTGCTCCAGCGCGGCTTCCCACAGGGTCACAGACTCTTTCAGGCATCCCCCTGGTCTGGCATGGGGTCCCCTCTGGGCTGCAGGGACACAGCCTGCCTCACCATGGTCTTCCCCACAGGCTGCAGGGGAATCTCTGCTCTGACACCTGAAGCACCTCCTCCCCCTCCTTGTTCACTGACCTGGGTGTCTGCAGGGCTGTTTCTCTCACATATTCTCACTCCTCTCTCCAGCTGCAGTTGCTGTTGCGTAGCAACTTTTTTTCCCCCTTCTTAAATCTGTTCTCCCAGGGGCGCTACCACCATTGCTGACAGGCTCAGCCTTGGCCAGAGGCGGGTCCAACTTGGAGGTGGGGAATCTTCAAGCAGTTTCTCACAGGACCCATCCCGGTAGCCCCCTCCGCTACCAAAACCTTGCCACACAAACCCAATACCAATGACAGTTACAAAGCTTCCCTAAAGCTAACGAAAAAGGAAGCATAATTAAAAAGTATTCTAAAGACTTACAGATACCTTTTACTTTTATCACCTGTATGTGAACATGCATCTAGTTAAGGCATATACTGTTCTGACTCAGCAGACAGTGCATTCATCATAGCATGCCTATTTTCATAACTTCATTGACATTGAGAGGAATTACCATTCCTATGGTTTCAAAAGGGTCACTTATGTAATAAAGTTCCATACACATACAGAACAATTTCAAGCCAAAACCTAACAAGATATTTTTACTTACAGAAGATACAGAGGATTCACAAGATCATAATTTAGATATTCTGAAACTGCCTTACCATGGTGTAGCTGTGAGCCACCTTCATAAGCTCTGTGCATCCTTGCGCATCAGCAAATGCTCGTATTCCCAGACAGTTGGATGGGTGCAAAAGCTTCATTAGAAAATGGCAGCAAACCTCTACTACTTGTGGAAGCTGGAGGAGGCAGGCAGCTGCTAGAAGATTTTCAATGGTGTCTTCTTTCAATTCCAGGCAGCCTAAAAAAAGGATTGATAACACATGCAAACTTCTTTATTTGGTGTTTACAAAACATGCAGTATTAAAAGATCTTTTATAAATAATCTTAGGTCTATATAAGTAACTCTACAGAAAAAGTGAATAGAAGGAGGATTAGTCTCTCTGACTGGACACCTCAGTGACCTGAACGCTACAGTATTAGAAACATTTCTTTTTAAACTACTGTTAATTCAACTATATAATAGGAATATAAAGAGAGACTGTAAAGTGTGGAAAGGAAGAGGAGACTTGGGAATGATGGTTTTGTTTATATAATGAGACTAAAATCTGAGTAAGTCTCTGGATATCAATCAGGCTGTGGGGTTTGGTTTTTTTTTTTTTCATTGAAATTGCTGATAAAACTTGCATTATCTTCAGCGGTACAGAGAAAAACTCACAGCCATTTACCTCCCTGCAAAGAATTAAATAACTGCCTAATGTAGTATAACTAAACCCATAAAAATATCTTCAAAATAGGGCTTAAAATCTTCAAACTTCATGTTGCTTATTTGTAATGTGACTTTGTGATTAACTATATCAGAGTAACATATGGGAGGTCTCTCTTAGCACATAGTTCTTCTGAAAAACTTTATTATTAGCTAAAAGAACATATATGGATGCATAATATTTATCTTTCATTAATTAATACTTATATTGCACTTAATTTTGTAATTTCACAAGTCATTATCTTTATCTGGCAGACTGATACAAGATAGAATAAAATAAGTTTAAAACATTATTTCTTTTAGTGAGAAATAAGCATCATTCTTGTCATCATGCTCCCCCCATATTCATTTTTAAAGGATTTCTTACAAATCTTGTACATTAATAACTTAAGAAACTATAAATTAGAGATCGCAAGGATGTCTTGGAGAACTGGCAAAAAGAATAGGAATTTAAAATGTGTAAATATAATATAAATTGTAAGAAACTAACACTTCTGATTTTAATTTGCTGTGCTTGGAAAGATCATTTCAAACTGTAAGAAGATTAAGTGTATATTGATCTTTCTGTTCAAAGTAATATAGTTCAACAGTTAGATAAACTCACTCTTTTCCCCACACAAATTTTATATTTGTTGTCACATAAAGAGAAATCTACACATCTTAATAGTTCTATCACATGGCACAGAGGAGTTCTAAAATCCTCAACTTCACAGAATGCCATTGAAAAGAAAAGCTGTTTTATATTGCAATACCAAACCCAAAATACAATAAGTATAACACTGAAGATCTGACCTTCTCTCCTTTCACTATATCTGGAGCTTTTAATATAGGATGGAAACCGGGAAGTTATACTTTACTGGATTTAGTTATAATACATCCTTTTGCAAAGGTTAGAGCATCAAATCAAGTACACAGCATAATATCAGTGGTTTTCCTCTGCTTATTTTTATGCTTCGATTAATGTTGCATTAAGTTTCTTTTTATGTTATCTTTTTATGTTTTTCTGATCATTTCTGTCCACCACACGTTTATGCAGTGTGGTCAGAAAGCACGCTCAGCAGCTGATTCTTGGCTGACCCATATATTTATCAATGTCACTCCCACATTTGCTGCATGCTTGCAGGTAACGACTTGCTCAACACACTATTTATTATCTAGAATATAGTTCCCCTGTGTCATGTGGAAGCTATCAAAAGATAGTTGTTTTCAAATAAAAACTGATCATCCCAGTACCAAAAGGAAGAAAAAAAAATGTGCAAAACAGCTGTGAAAAGTAGATGGACTGAGAAATGTGCTGATGGATACAAAATTAGAAAAATGGAGTTTTAAATCTGCTTTTCTTATATATTATTTATTTTTCAAGGATGAGCTTGAAGAAGTCTCTGGCCCTACAAAGCTGATCCAGGTAACGTTTACAGAATGATGTAAGAACTGAAAGAATCATCACCCTTTATGAAGAAAGGTAAAAGCTTTTTATCACTAAATGTAGCCTTAGGAGAAGAACCCGAAGGAAATAGTTGAAGCCACATCTATCTATTTATTTTCAAATCGAAGATATTTTCTGTTAATTTTAAGGAAAACTAGTACTAGTAGGGTAGTAGTTGGGAACTAGTAGGATTAAAATAAGTTTAAGTCAATAAAAATTATGATCTGTTTTCTAAATTACATATTTATGTAACCAACATGATCATTTTAAAGGACATCCTTCACATTTTTATGGAAGACTCTGAACAAGTGTCTGCCTTACACATTAATCAAGGGAGTAAACATATAACGGCTTCTGGGAGATCTGGAGATATGATTACACTATAGCTTGACTTATTTTTAACTAAATTCAGAAACACCAATTTACTACTTGATATATCTAGGATAAGAGCTAGAAAAATACACTCAGCTTGAGTTAAAGAGGAGTTTACTGTTCTTTCTTTCAGTAGTGTCTTATCCTGCCTCCCCTCCCCCCTTTTTTTTTTTTTTTCTTTTTTTTTTTGCACAAACATGGTAGGAAGTAAGATAGGGCTCTCCAGGATCCTGCTTTTACAAAGCATTAGCTTCAATGATAGGTAGGTATCTAATCCATCTAAATGCTTTCAAAGTCTTACTTATTGTCATTTTTAAACATCAAGACACCTTCATGAATTTGGTCACAAGGGCTGTATTCACTTTTTCAGAAGGGTGCTATGACATTTTTATGCAAATTCTTCTGAGATATCAAATGTTCAGCATGATCAGAGTTTGGAAAAAAAGCTGTTAAGAGGCTCAGTATATACAATGTCAACTCCTCAGACAGTTTCATATTGACAATTAGAAGATCCAAGCATCTATTGAAAAACGTTTAATAGGATATTCAAGGGGGCATTAATATTACTGTTTCTTCAATTCACCTCCCCTTCACAATTTTAGGCAATAAGGAGCTTGCACAAGTACTTTGGTCTGAGCAAAACAAATTATCCAAAGCTTAAAATCTCATTTTGTATTACATTAATTAGGATGAAAAAATATATGAGAAAAAAAACAATCAAAAGAACTTTAATGGATTCTAATTGTTATTCTAAATTACTGTTTTATTTGTGACAAATTTTATGGGCATTGCTTATGCAGAAATTAAAATACCTGTCTTTAGGATGTGTTCTTATAATGAATACATAAATTTTATTACCTCATTACCAAATGTGAAGCAGAGATAATATATAAAAATTCCCTGATATCTTTATTTTTTTGCTAAATCTTTTTCCAAGTTAAGGGACAGTTTGGGGATTTTTTCCTTTTTTTTTTTTTTTCATCATATCTTTTACTTTTATTCCTTCTTTTACTCCTTAGGCTACACTGTTGCAAATAATTTTGTGTATAGGCAATCACTGCATCTTTGACCACCTTTGCATGATGTTCATAAGGTCAGTGTGTGTCACAGGAATCAGCCTCCCACAGCTATTGCCCAGGAGGTATCAATACAAATATGGTGGGACTGCTCAGTAGGTACTGCTCACTTAATCTGTGCACAGGCAACAAGTTTTAACTCATATCCATAACACATAGTAATATCATTTTACCTCATGGGCACAGTAAATTTTTTCTCTCTTGTAATTACACATTTATCCATTCATAGCAAGACTCTTCAACATTCTTAAGACAGCTGTGAGTAAGGATGCACCAGTGAAGTCATGGGAAGTGTCAAGGAATTAGAAAGGCTAGAACTAAATCCTTTTAATCAGGTATTTATCTTTTTAACCTTTCTATTTCAAGTGTCTTAATCAGTTGTGTTGCAGTATTGAAGAGTTTCTGAATGGAATTATTTCCATAGGCTAACCAGTTGTAGGAACGCAGCATCTCTATTAGATCTCCATTTTTTTTAAATAAAAGCAGATATTTATTCAGATTTTGCGTAGTAGATTAATTGCTTACAATTACATTTACAAGAAGAAATTGCTTTTTTGAAACAGCATCAAATTCCAGTGAAGACAAGAAAAAGCTTATAAAAAAGGTGCTATGCTTCATATTGCTATAATAGACCTTGTTGGCATTGCTTATCATTAATCTTACCAAATCTTAGGTATCTGCTAGGTAGCCACCTGACCTAATCATCTGAGATCTCCTTTTATAGTCAATGGAGAGAAATATGAGGTGTTAGAGCAGTTTCCATCTGCCCTGTTTTAGTCATTTACTTTAGAATGAGATTAATATATATTTGAATTTATATTTGCTGATACAAATTGAGTTCATCTGCTCCCAAACAGAGAGTACTGGAATCATCGTAATCATCAGGTATCAGGTGATGAAGTGTCTGGAAATGCTTTACACCCTTTAAACACTATTTGGGTCCAATTCTGATGATCATTCTCTCTGCTACTGTGAACTCCTGGTAATGACGTAATGTGTAGTAATCACCTCTTATGTCCATCCATGAATAGCAGCCAGTGAAGAATGCATTGAAAAGTATTTTCCCTGTAGCAGAACATCTTTTAGTCTCCAGCTGATTCCTGGATTTTGACCTATGCCTTAAAAGATAAATTCTCCATTTTATCATCTCCCACACTCTTCATAAAGGTGAAGTTGTTTTCAGAAAAGAAAACATGACAGACAGTATATTCCCTTTGCAGAGGTTTCTCCTGATCAAACTCTTCTTTATTTTCTATTATTTGCTGCAGACCATGCTCATCAGCTGCAAGTGAGGAAAACAAGCACTCTATAGCTGATTGTGCTTATTTCCTTACAGTTTGGCATTTAGCATCAGTGAAAATTCAGAAAGGCAGCTCATTTTTGTGCTGTAGATATTCAAATAAACAAATAATTACTACCCCAAAAGGGAGTAGGCCCATACACAAACAGATAGTGTAATTTAAATTGGGGAAAAAACTTAGGATCTGCCCATTCCTATTATCAGACTAATCATCTTACAAAACCTAAACCAAATACAAATTAACTCCAAAAGTAGGTATGACCCAAAGATGTGTTTACTTGAGGGTGCTGATGAATCACTTGATTTTTTGGCAGCCATTTTGGTATCAGCCATGATAAATAAAAGACAAGTTAAACCATAC